CTGTCTCTTATTGGGGCTCTGATTTGTTATATCATTATCACATAAAAATTCTACACATCTTTTATCCAAGTTCTTATATTTGGCATCTCTTGTATGGATAAAATCAGTGATATGTCATCAAGGACTGTATATATCAATCTTAATACTTGGAAGTGGAGGTTTTGCAAAGACATTATTGAACTTTTCTAATCATGAACTAGAATGCTGTTGGCAATTAGATTAAGGGAATGAATGAGGTTCTGTGTAGTTTGAGAACTTGTTTGTGAAGGCTTTTGGAAGTTCTGAAAGGATATTATCCAATGGTAATACACAATTATTCAAATGTCAGTGCTGGACAGAAAAGGAAAAGAAAGGTTAACCCTAGAGAAAGAGAGGATAAAGAATAAAATGCATATAAAGTTTAGTTACAAGAAATATAGTGAAGCTTTTTTTTGGCTTTAGCGAAGCATGAATGTGCACTTATTTTTATGGCTGTCTTACCCTTGTGACATATGGCCATATTAGTGCAGCTATTTTTTTCTTGCCATGTATTTATTTGAGAATAGTGTGGACTTTAAACCCCCTATTGCCAGTGTGCTTTACATACACACATGTTTACCATGCCATACTCATTCAAAAATGATTATTTTAATCTGTTACTCTGCAATTATTTGAAATGATTGTTCATTTGTCCTCCCTCCTCCCCATCCCTTTTCTTGTTGTTTGGTGGTGTCAGGGTGGATAGCTGTTTTGTGTTTTATGGTAGCAATTTAAATCTCTTTCAGCTTTTCTGGTTGAGTGAAGTTAGAAGTACCAGGTCTCTTTTAGTTTGAAACTATTCCCGTCATATCAACATGCACCAACATGAAAAGAATAAAAAAAATTACCATTTACTCTTGCTGGATGTTATTTTCGGGAATGGTTATGGCTATCAACAAGAATGTTAAGGCCACCAAAACTGTAAAATACTGTCTTTAAAAATATTGATTCTGTTTAATTTGATTGATAAAAATGGCTAATAATTGTAACTATTAATTAATAATTGATAAAACAGTTGATATTTATTAGTTAATAAATTAAAATCAGTCAATAAACTGATTTGTTCAAACATTGTTTAAAGGAAAAAAACAAAAATATTGGTGGCCCTAACATATTTGATGGTGGCAATAACCACACCCATTATTTTCTGAATCTATTTTGCTGGTTTAGCTGGGATCTCAAGCAAACTTTTAAGCATAATCCTGATGAAATAAAACTACCATGCTGCTATGCCCCTTCTATCCCTAACTCCTTTTTGAGGATTGAAAGGATAAAGAAGCTCGGGGTTCTGCTCTCTCTGTTTGAATTGTCTGTTCCTATATTCTCTTTAAGTGCCCATCTGTCAAACCCATTTCATGGAAGTTTATGTCTCATACCACATCTGTTTTCTGTTTCCTGTTTTCTTTGTTGGTTACACTTGATTACATCTCACAAGTAAATGCACATGCAAAGTTTCTGTTGATAATTTTTGGGGTTTCTCGGAGCACTTTTTAAGTTGTACTTCATTTTCCTGTTTTCTATTTTTCTTTCTTATGAAAAGAATAATCTTTCTTATCTAAATGTGTCCATTAACGGCCTGTTCATGATGGTTGTTGGATGATTTTATTGCAACTTGTGTGAAGAAAATACACATATACTTTTTGCTTAGTTGTAAACTGTCCATTGTTTTTGGTGATATCTATTGATTTGTATTTTTCATTCTTGCAGGCTGAGAGTGCAATAGCAGCTCTTAATTGTAGTGGTGCAATTCTAGGATCCCTGCCTATAAGGTGGTTATGTCAATATTTTTCCATTTGAGCTTGTCTTGTCGTTCTTATTTGTGCAAATTCTCATTTCCAGTTTTATGGAATGACCTTGTTGTGCGTGCAGGGTAAGCCCATCAAAGACGCCTGTTCGCCCCCGTGGCCCTCGTTCTGTAATGCACTGAACCATCCTTGCATGTTTTCTCTCTCCTGGACTGATCAGTCCACTAATTATATATATTTACACATACATACATAGATACAAAAGTATATTTAAGGTACCTGTGAGGCTTATATTTATGATATTGTCCTTGCATCCCAAGCTCGGTATCTTTGTTATTTAAAGGGAGGGGTAATTCTGGTTGGTCTCTTTTGTAGAGTTGGATGGGGTTTCGAGGATGTGAATGTTTAATTTGCACATCACAATGAACTTTTTAGGGTGAATCCCTAAAGACTGCTTTTGCTATTTTTCTAACTGCTGATTAGTTGAAAAGACTATTTCCTTGTGCAACTTTAGTTATCTTTCCAAGTCACATACAACTGGATGATTAACCTGTGCTCTTCAATTAGAATACTTAATTGAAGAGTATGATTACTTGTAATGTTGTTTTATGATTGCATCTAACCCTAAACCCTGTTTGCCTACACCCTAACGAGATTTTATGGTTTTAAGTTCTTCATCATGTGATTTACCATGCTCAATTGCCTCCCACAAATGAAAGACATGCCTGACCATCTCAGAAGAGTCTTGGCTTTTTCTTAATTGCTTGATCAGGCACTTTAGATTTGCAGTTATTTGGGCTACTAGGGCATTTCTAGACTTAAATAAAGAATTAGCCAAACTCTTGACCCATAAAAATATATCCTGCTTTGACATCGACAAGTTGTCTGGAGACCATACATTTTCTCCTTTGGTCAATCCAAAGGCACTACCAGTTTACAATATATTGTTAGCATCTTTATATGTGAAAACCCCATAATATGGGATTGGAATATCTTTGCACTACATATGGTGACTAAACAATTTTTAGGAGAGCAAATCTCCTTTCTCAAATCCCTCTTCATTTGAAGGTCAAAACCCCAGTCCTTTTAACTTGCAATCACAAGCTCTTAATCCTCCGTGATTTTCTTTTAGTTGAAAGTCAACTATTGTAGATGACAGACGATGGATGACTTGTTATGGCTGGTCGTAGTTGTGACTGAGTAAGCTCTTAATAGTTCCGACATCTAAAGTGATTTTCTTTTAGTTGTTGAAACTCAATAATAGTAGATGGTGACAATGGGTGACTAGTTATGGTTGGTTGTAGTTGTAACTGAGTAAAGCAAATAATATCTCATATATGATGCATGTGCATAACAGATGATGCAAACTAATTTCAAACTATTGGGTTTTAGGCAGCTTCACCTAGAATGGCTTCTCTAACTGTCTTCCATAGAAATGTTAAAAAATTAGGAAGCAACTGGTGCATGAAGTTGGAAGAAATAAGGAACCAGCAGCCCACTATTGCCATTGTCTTTTCTGCCTTTGTTTCTTGTGTTCCAACAAAATTCATGAATCCTTGAAAGTGAATAGGGAATCAGGGGGATAGAAAGACGTACACGAATGCCAAAGGACTGGATTAGACAAGTGAAATATATATGTATCTTAGAAGAACAGAGTTTGGCAGTTCGTCTATTGAACCGGAGACTCTAAAGTTCAGTCTCTCATCTAATGGCTTCTCTTTTGCAGTTCTGGGAATTTCTGACTCCATAGCTTGAAAATTTACCAAGCTCGGTTACCCAAGAACAAAATTATGAGGAGATAAAATTTTCTTGTAATTTATTTCACCTGAGAAAGAATATATTACAATCTATGTCTAAAGAAAATGCTACCTTAACAATATCGTGAAGTGTGAATACTTGTATGGTCTATTCTCCTCCTGTCAAGCATCTACTTCTGTTTTCTGTTGTATCCCTTCTGATTGTTTCTACATTCCGTTGTAATAGAATGGTATAAATGCTATCGTTCACTAGGAAGAATTAGCCTTGCTGAATTTTGTCAAGGGTTAGTTCCTGACAATGCTGCTGCCACTGCTGTCCCCTGTTCCGCTGCATTGCATAACAAGAGATGTTAAAAGATGTAGTTTTTTTAATGCAAAACTCAGTACAATACAATTTGATTTACTCAACTAGTAACAGGCATTGATGGAGAAGAAACTGAAGCCGGAAAGGTCCCGGAAGCATGATTTTGCTGAGACCAAAATGGGTACTGAACGACTTTGGGGTGCTGAGTTGCTCTGCTCTGTGCCTGCTGAGGATAGAATGGATAGTAATTCAAATAAACTCCATGAGACCCAGATGGAATCTGCAGTCCCCCATAAAGACCGTAGTAGTCCTGTAGACAAATCCAATTTCAAATCAAGAAATCTAAAAATGAGATGTTGTAACAATCATCCTTTCATATGAAACCGAGGCTGTTCTTACCATTGCATATATGTCATGTAATGGATACCCTGTTGGATACCTGCTGATACAAGAATTAATGTCAGAAAGAGAGCAACCACTTTTGAAAATTAATCCCTGAAAGAAAGTTCATTTGATCTGCCTACTCATATGCAGCAATGTAAGGAAATCCATATGGTGGGTTGAGTTGCCGGAAAAATGGACCGGATGGTGCCGGAGATCTTGACCATGGCCTCAATTTCTCCATTCCTACCATATCATACATACAAGATCAAACCCAATTTGAAGCAAATTATGTGCATACAAATACAACTTCATTCAACAAAAACATCACTTATATTTGTTAATTATTAGGCAGACCATGTTGGGGGACACGGGTAGGACGATTCTTTTGAGCACCAAGGAATGCAAGATTGCAGTTTGCTCTTCTGTTGTCGATGACTGGAGAAGGATTTTGACAGGCTTTTCTAGCTGAATCAGCATCCTTAAACGTCACCTAGAATCCCAGAATCAAAACAAACATTAAAATACCAACATGAGAAAGAAAATTAAAACTTGTTTGTTCTATGGAGAAAAAAAAAAGGAGCGAGCAACTTGCTTACAAAGCCATAGCCTTTTGATCTTCCTGTACTTTTTTCAGTGATCACAACAGCCTCAAGAATCTCCCCGAACTGTTGAAAATAACGTTTCAGGGAATCGGATTTTGTCTCCCAAGCCAAACCTCCGACAAAGATCTTGGTGTAGGTGGTGTCACCAAACTCTGAGCCACCGTTCTTCTCTTCCAACATCTTGGTTGTTTCAGACATAAAACCAAACCAAACACTGTCCAAAACACAACAGAGCAAAGAAAGAACAGAACAAAACAGAAAACCTACAAGGGAAGACAAAGGGGAGAAAGAGCCGTTAATTCTAAGAAAAGAAAAAGAAAAAACCTAGTAATTGTTGAAGAAGAAACAGTCGTTGATGGGGATTTTGGAGTGAATACAAGGGAAAATTCAAGAACGTTTCCTTGCTGTCTTCAACTTTCTTTCCTAATTTGTTTATGGCTAATATTCGTTTTCAGGTATATTATTAAATTTAATGATGATCACTGTATTTGATGTGTACTGTAATTAATGCATTACGCGTAAGAATAAGAACATTCGCGTTAAGATACATTGGCCGTCCCCTTCTACCCTTCACCAGGTCCTAACAACAATTTTCTTTTTTTCTTTTTTCTAATCATTTACGATTGGGTGTTTTTCAGCCAGGTTATGGCATCTCCAAAATTAATTCCTCTTTGTCAATCTTCTCCAAAACTAATTTATTTTAGGCGACCATGGGCACTTACTCCCACTTATCAAGTCTTATAATATTGAATTTGTAATTTGTATATGATTTTTACCTTTTTTATATAGTGGGTGATGATTGAATTTTAAATTTGATTAAAAATACAAATAATTTTATTTTTAGATTATATGAATTGATAGATAGATAATATATAATTACTAAGAAATGAGATACACGGTTTATTTTTATTTTTTTTTGTTTTTTTGAACTTTTTGATATGGGGCGGGTTTGGAACCTGTCCAAAAAAGAGAGAAATATATTTTTCAATGACTAGTGTCATTGAACCTCTAAGATCAAGTGTGAAATACCAATTTATTTGAAATCGTAAAATATGATGAATTGATATATATTTATTATTTACTTTTCGTTACACGGATACTTTTAATTAGTTTTTATAGGAAAATTCTTTTGTTCCCTTTTAGTAATCATCATTCTCCAAAATCAATGTAACATTTAATTTTTTTTATATAATTTTACCTTCAAAAGTTAACGAATTGTTAAGTAAAAAATTTTACATTGAAAATATAATAAAAAAATATTTAAGTTAAATATAAAAAATATTACTTTATATATTGTCAATTTATTTTAAGTTAATTATAGTTTTTGTGTTGAAACTCATATATAAATTTTTACATGATATTAGAGTTCAGGTTTTGTTTTTGAAAGATAACTACGTAATAGGATTTAATGTTTATATTAGACTTATATGTGTTAAGGTGCGTTAAATGAAAAAATTTTACATAAAAATGCTAAATATGAGAAAACTTATTTTATTTATTATCAATTGATTTTAAATTAAATGTAACCTCTCTATTAAAACCACATGTCAATTTTCACACAAACACCACTAAAATGCAGAGACACCATACCTAAAATAAGAAAGAAATTTGGGTAATTTAAGCTTGGATATCTCTAGCATCAAGGTCAATTTTGGTAATTTTGTAATTTTGGATATGATAAGGCAAGTGATTCAACTTGTGTGGAAAACAAAGTGAGAATGGAGCTACACAGGTACAACACTTATCAATGATAAGAATTGAGGAAACGTTTTACATTTAAATATTTACTTGAAACGTCAATTAAAAACTAAATAAGGTGAGTAGTTATTTGAGGTTACAAGACCATTATTATCTCTATTTTAATTTGTTCGTCACATTTTTAAAAAGATATTTCAATTTACATTTGAATTCTTATTTTGAACAAAATATTAAATTATTAACAACAAATTCAAATCACATAAGGAAGGGGTGGGTTAATTGCATGGTATTAAATTCTTTTTTTTTTTCAATTTTGCCCCTTTTAAAATTTTATATTTATTTATCTAATCTCTCAACTTCCTCTTTCATTAATTGAGTCATCTATTAAAATTTTAAAAGGGATAAATATGAAATTTTAAACTATAATAATTTTATTTTATGAACTTTTATAATTTTTCTATAATCATTGTCCCAAAAAAAAGGTATGACAACTAAATTGAACGGAGGGAATATAAAATTTTATTTTAGGAAACCAAGTCTAATTTCTCAAAGGAAGGAACATTAAATTTAGAAATTTAAGGACGGCTTTTTTTTTTTTTTTTTCCATAGAAATTTAAGAACTCCGTGAGTTTCCATATATTTTCCATGCAATCTGGTCTTTGGCCCAGATGGCTAGAGGCAATTTCGGACTTTTGCTAATTTGATAATTGGTAGTACAAAAAGAAAGGCCCATTGGCAATATATGGATTATGGACAGTGTTTGAGCCTAAACAGAATTCATTTTGGTATTTTGCCTGGTCTTTCCATTTTAGTATTTTTCTGGTCTTTTCTTATTTGAGAAGGAAATTGTTATGGTGAATCCCTGATCTGAAATATAAAAAAAGCCTTTAGATTCATCACTTTTCAAGTCCGAGATTGTCATTTGGAGTTAGAGACTTGAGTTTTTATTTTTTAATGTTTGCAAGTTAAAAGTCTCGCAATTTTACTTACAATTTCATCCGAGATGTTGAACAAAAAGGTCGAACACTTATCCACCATATTTTTTTGTCAAAAAATTATAATCCATCATACATGAAAGGAAAATCTCAAAATCAATAAAACTCATTTAAAATAGAAGTTGGCTCAACACCAATCATGAAACTGTGTTGTTTGTAATTCATACAGCATGAATTATAAAATACCATTCTATCTATTTATCATAACATACTAATATCTTCAACTCCGAAAGGCCCACAAAATCTCATATAAGAGATGACGCATTGAACTCATGGAAAGTAAGAATGGTGATATCTACTACAATTTCTTTTGACAACCCATGAGGAGGAACCTGTGTGCCAGTCAGCTAAAGGCGGCTCTTCGAAAGACAAAAGGGTAAACTAAGGGCTACAAACCAGAAACAAAGGGGCTACAAACCAGAAACAAAGGGGCCCCAAAGACCATAAAAGTGTTACCTCTTGGTCCACTTCACCAATTAAAGATGATAAGAAGAAAGGATTCTACCACATATGTTCAATTCAATGAACTTGCTTTATTAAAGAGGGTAGTGGAGATGGATACTATGTGGAGATATGTAGTCCGTGCAAGAAACAACCCATTGTAATTTCTCGTCATTACATGCGTCATGTTTGGGAGGATGGAGTC